GATCGAAGAACTGGAGCTCTGATACCACTTGTTGTGCGCAGCGGAAGCGGATTGCACTGTGGTGGTTGATATGAAACCATTGAAACAACAAGAGCAAACTATGAAATACAGAAATCCAAACGACACAAGGATTTATACTGGTTCGGCCCGTGTGTAGCCTACGTCCAGTTCGAAGATGGCAAGAACTTCCACTAGTATCCCAAAAGAGATTACAAACAAATGAGATTAAACACTCTCACCTATCCTAGGAATTATAGAGTTTAACTCTCACAACCCAAATCCCAAATACACCCAAGTCACACTCTCACAATAATTGAAAAGAAAGAACATTTTTTCTCTTCTTCTCACACTTGGTTGTGATGCTACAAATGAAACCATTTGCTTCCAATTTATAGCCAAAGATGCAAGAGTGTGAATGCAAGCTTCAACTATTCATATGTTGGCTACCAAACTCAACAATGGATGGCTACCAAACTAGCCACACATTTTGACCTCATAGCAAGCCAACATTTACTCACATGGGCAACTCCAATGGCAAACCAATATTGACCCACATGCCAAATTTGAGCCAATTTCAACACATATGTTAAAAGCTTTCACCCTGATTGGTCTCCTGCCGCCATCAAATCATCTATTATGACCACCGGTATTGTCTTCTCAAATAGCTGGAGACAACAGGCATGTACAATACAATATAATGTCTGGAACCTCCATGGCTTGCCCCCACGCTGCTGGTGTAGCTGCATATGTTAAAAGCTTTCACCCTGATTGGTCTCCTGCCGCCATCAAATCATCTATTATGACCACCGGTATTGTCTTCTTTTTTGCTTGATTAGTCTCCTTTTAAATTTGCAAATTATGATAATACTATCAAATATTTTCTATGCTTGTAGCTTGGCCTATGAATGATTCCCAGAGCTACGTTCCCACTTATGAGTTTGCTTATGGATCGGGACATATCAATCCTGTAAAAGCTATAGACCCTGGGCTAGTGTATGAAGCTTCTAAAGAAGATTACATAAGGTTGCTATGCATGAAATATGATGAAGCCAGAGTTAGACTTCTGTCAGGTGATAACAGCACATGCCCTATAGGCTCTGATAAAGGATCGCCAAAGGATCTTAATTACCCTTCAATGGGAGCTAAAGTTGAACCAATGAAACCTTTCGCAGTAGAATTTCATAGAAGAGTTAAAAATGTTGGCCTTGCAAACGCCACTTACACGGCCAAAATCTTCTCAGAATCCAAAGTTGAGATCAAAGTGGTGCCTGAAGTTCTTTCCTTCAAGTCCTTGAATGAGGAGAAGACTTTCAATATGACCGTTGCTGGAAGCGGTTTGCCATATGGATCACAAGTTTCTGCGGCGCTGGTTTGGTTTGATGGTACTCACAATGTTAGAAGTCCAATTGTTGTATACACTGCAGCTGAACATGAGTAATGAGATTCACATTTTCAAATGGAGGATCAATCACCCCAAGAAATATACACAAGTTATGACTCTATTTGAGGCCCTTAAACAAATATAATATCTTATTCAGAGTGTGAGAATATTTGATTTCACATAATTAAATTTAATGTTTGTTTTCTTAAATATAATGATGAGTTTGAAATAACAATGGCTGCCTGACTACGTGATTGTTGAAGAATATAACTTTATAAGTCCCACATACTTTACTAAATAAAATACAAAATATAATTAATAGTCCTACTACTAATAACACCGAGGTCTTTTGTAATAAAACCCCACACCTACTGAGCTTTGTAGGTGGTTAAGTTGGGGACACTATTGGTGATGTTAGTAGTGGGCCACTAGCCCTGTCTCTCTGAATTTAAGAGCGGTTTCATTTGATCCAATCCACTAAGTCATCGAAACCAATTAAAATTGGGGATTTGGGTGGATTGGATTGGATCTTGCACACCCCTAATACTAGTGGCCATAATTAATGCTAATGCCAACCTATATACATATATAGAAGGTGCATATCATTCTATGAATTTAGAATTTTTGTTAAGGAATAATTTGTGTATATTGTAATTCCAAAAATGCATTTGAAAGAAAGGAAAGAAAAACTGGATGCTTAGTAGAGATGATGATCCTTAGTCCCAGTATAAAGTACCCTTCATCTGGTCCTTTTGAGAATTGAACAATGGCTAAGGATGGAGAACTTCTGTTTTATCATGTCTTCTGCATTCTCATCCTAACTATGAGTTTATTGTGCAAAGCCACTTCTGAAGATAGAGAGGTAGGAGTCATCTTTGTTGTATAACAATAGTCTTCTCGATCTTTCGCTTGATGAATAGTAAGATTGGAAGGCTATTCAATCTGTGATTGATGCCATTTTATGAAGAACTCTTTTAACAGTATTAATAATTTTTAAACTTGACTGTGAATATACGATCATGATGATGCAGGTCTCTATTGTGTACTTGGGATCACTTCCTCAAGGAGTGTACTCTTTATTGTCTCACCACAACAGTATTCTACAGAGAGTTGTCCAGGGAAGGTAGTCTATCGACATTACATTGTCTTTTTTGTCTTTGAAGTCATAAGCTAGTTCTTCTCTCTCTCTCTCTCTCTCTCTCTCTCTCTCTCTCTCTCTCTCTCTCTCAGTTCTATTGAAGATTTATTAGTAAGAAGTTACAAAAGGAGTTTCAATGGATTTGCTGCCAAGCTCACTGACCAGGAAAGAGAAAAACTTTCGAGTAATGCTTCCATGACTCTCTTTTTTTTTCTTTCCCATTACACAGTAGTAATATAGTTTGGTTTGAGATTATATCATGCTTATAAACTGTTCATTTCAGACATGAAGGAAGTGGTCTCTGTCCTTCCAAGCAGAACATATCAACTCCAAACAACAAGATCTTTGGACTTTATGGGTTTCGATGAGAAAATCAATCGAAATGCCACTGTTGAGAGTGACATTATTGTTGGTGTAAATGATAGTGGAATTTGGCCTGAATCAGAGAGCTTTACGGATGTAGGTTTTGGTCCTGCTCCTAAGAGGTGGAAAGGTGCTTGTAAAGGTGGCAAAAATTTCACTTGCAACAAGTAGGTGCCCCTCCATATTCATCGATCTTGTGGTAGCATTAGTATCCTTTTCATTACAGGAAACTAATTTAGAGACCTATTCTTTCATAAATACCCGTGTCTGTCCATTTTCAGAATTTTTCTAATGGTTTTGCTAGTAATACTTACTAAGGTTGTAGCCACAATAAAAATAACAATAATTTTCTTTCTGCAGCAAACTCATTGGAGCTCGATATTACACAGCAGAGTCTGCAAGGGATGGTACAGGTCATGGAACCCACACTGCCTCAACGGCAGCTGGGAATGGTGTAAAGGATGCAAGCTTTTATGGACTAGCACAAGGTACTGCTAGAGGAGGAGTACCGTCTGCGAGAATTCCAGCATATAAAGTTTGTGCTCCAACGTGCATGGCACACGATATTTTGGCCGCTTTTGACGATGCTATTAATGATGGAGTTGACATTATTACCATTTCAATTGGACTTGGTTTTATGGCAGATGTCTATGGGGATGCTATTTCCATTGGTGCTTTTCATGCAATGGAAAATGGGATACTAACCACAAACTCTGCAGGCAACAATGGTCCTTTAGATGGTACTGTGTCAAGTCCAGCTCCCTGGATATTGACAGTTGCAGCAAGTAGCATAGATCGTCGGATCATTGACAAAGATTTTTTTGGAATTGGTACAACAGTAGTTGTAAGTCTCATCAACTTCACCGATAAACTTGTGTATTTCATTGCAATTTTCTGTTATATACTTTCTAATATCTTCATAGAAAACAGGGGAATTCTGTGAACTCTTTTACATTAAATGGAACAAGTTTCCCTCTGGTACATGGAAAAGATGTTTCAAGTAATTGCACAGAGGAAGACGCAGGGTAATTTTTGTACTGATTGTATTTTAACTGCGAACACTAGACATGAACTAATAAGGTTCTAGGGTCTGACTTGTTGCATTGCAGAAATTGTAAAGAAGGTTGCCTGGACAGTCAATTAGTAAAGGGAAAGATTGTGCTGTGTGATCGATACACTAGTGCAATTCCTGAGGCGTATGAAGCTGGTGCACTAGGTTCAGTTTTACTTAATTTCTACAACGATGATGATCTTTCTTTGATTCTCCCCTTAGCTGCGACGGCTTTACACCCCAAAGAGTATAGTGTGATGATGTCCTACATGAACTCCACTAGGTATAGTTTCTTTTCGATATCATAAGGGCATTGTCTCAACATGTTTTCTTTCTCTAAATGATTAAATGCGTTTCTAATTGTATAGAGATCCTCAAGGAACCATACTAAAAAGTGAACACATAAAAGATCCTGCTGCACCTCATGTCGCTTTCTTCTCTTCACGTGGACCAAATCTAATTTTACCGGAAATTATCAAGGTATGGGTGTTCCTTGTCACCTACATTTATCTTCTACGTGCATGGATCTGATAATAATAACATTTGCACTCTAATGTGTTTTAGCCAGATATAAGTGCCCCCGGAGTACAAATTCTGGCTGCATATTCGCCTGATGCTTCCATCTCAGAGTTTGAAGACAAGAGGCATGTAAAATATAAGATCATGTCTGGAACCTCCATGGCTTGCCCCCATGCTGCTGGCGTAGCTGCATACGTTAAAAGCTTCCACCCTGACTGGTCTCCGGCCGCCATCAAATCATCCCTTATGACTACTGGTATTGTCTGCATAATAGCAATTGCTTGATAGGTCACATTAGTTTTGAATTAAAAAAAATTGATACTACAGCCAAATCTTTTTCTATGTTTTGTAGCTTGGCCCATGAATGATACCAGCACCAAGAGCAACATTTCTACTGGTGAATTTGCTTATGGATCGGGACACATCAATCCAGTAAAAGCTATAAATCCGGGGCTAGTTTATGAAGCTTCAAAAGAAGACTACATAAGGTTGCTATGCATGAAATATGATGAAGACAAAGTTAGACTTGTATCAGGTGATAACAGCACATGCCCTACAGATAAAGGGTCACCACTGGATCATAACTACCCTTCAATGGCAGCTAAAGTTAACCCAATGAATCCTTTCACGGTTAAATTTCATAGAAGAATTAAAAATGTTGGCCTTGCAAACTCCAGTTACAAGGCCACAATCTTTCAAGACTCCAAAGTTGAGATCAAAGTGGTGCCTGAAATTCTTTCCTTCAAGTCCTTGAATGAGGAGAAGGCTTTTGATGTGACTGTGGCTGGAAGCGGTGTGCCTTTTGGAATACAAGTTTCTACAAAGCTGGTTTGGTTTGATGGTACTCACAGTGTTAGAAGCCCAATTGTTGTGTACACTTCAGCTATGCAAATGGAGAGGATCAATATCCTTTTTAAATAAAATAAAAAAATATTTACTGAATGTGTTATGGACATAATAAAAAAATTATTTTGGCACTTCAAATATCACTTCTTACATTCGTTTATCCTCTCCCATATGAAGGGTGCACTTTTAAGGGCACCTTTGAAGTGCCAAAAAGACGTTATTAAAAAACTATACGACTAGTTGACTTGTGTTGATGTAGATGGTTTATAGCTCAAAACACACTCCTCATTTTACTCATTGTTTTACTTTTTTCACATGTATTTCAATGTGGAAGTGAGTAGTGTCGTGAGAAGCGTGAATGTTTAGAAATCTATTAGTGTGATCGTCACACTGCCACGTGGTGTTATCAATTCACTCATGTTATAACGTGTATATTTATCTTTTGAGACAATAGTCTAAGTCCACCACATATCAATGTCAACCACTCATATGATATCAATTGATTCAGAAATCAAGGGTTAAAAACTACAACTTTTAAAAAATCAAAAAATTGAAAATACCATTAAAGATTAAAAAAGTAAAAAGGAAATATCTCTCTCACACTTGGGGGAACTTGCAAAGAATTCTGATACCATATTAGACAACCACTCCGCCCACACACTTTGTCCAAAAGATTAAGCTAATGAACAGCGAGGACTTTAGAATATTAGCAGCGAGACTTCACCCTCATCCCAATTTGTTTACACTTATAGAAGGTACATGGCATTCTATGAATTTAGAATTGCTGTTTTGGAATGAATTGTGTAAGTTAGCTGCAATACCAAATACTTCTAAAAGGAAGGAGACAAATCCTGGATGCTTAGTGGAGATGGCCAATATAAAGACCTCTTCACCTTGCCCACAAAGTGTTTGAGAAATTGACAATGGCTAAGCATAGAGCTCTTCTGTTTTATCATGCTTTCATAATTCTGATCCTCACTCTGAGTTTATTTTGCAAAGCAACTTCTGAGGATAGAAAGGTAAGAGTCATCTTTGTTGTAAAACAATAGTCTTCTCTTTTGCTTGATGGCTAGGAAGGTTAAAAATAAATTAGAAATTTCATCTTATTGGGAACTCTCTCACCGGTGCCAATTATTTTTAGTTTTATTTTTATTTTTCTTCTTGAGTGTGAATACAATCATGTTGATGCAGGTGTATATTGTGTA